AGCAATCCGAAAGGACTTTAAAGAAAGGACAAAATTAATTGCTAACAAGCAACTTAAACTACAAAAATTGAAAAAACAGGAAATGGAAAGATTGGAAGCCGACCGAATAAAAAGAGCAGAAAGTATGACCAATGATGTATGCTATTACGGTTTGTGGCAGACTGTTGACCAGATAGAGGAAGGAATGGGTAAATTAAATAATGAAAAAGAAATCAGATGTGCGCTTCAAGCTCAGATCAAGTTCCGAAAATCAGTTCAACAGAAGAATTGTAATAAACAAATTTTTAACCTGTCAAAGAAACAACCTAGTGGCAAGAATCAAAAATTATCAGTAGAAGAACTTAAAAACAATTTATGCGAACTAGTGAAAACAGCCTTAGACGTTGGTTCAAGAACAGAAGTTTCTGCCTTTGATGTGCCGTTGTAGGTCAACAAAAGGATTGCACACAGGTTTTCGGACGGACAGGAATATGATGGCTATGTCATAAATGTTGTTCCAGGATTCCCCCATTGGTACAACATAAAATATACAAATGATGATGCTATATACTCATACAATTTGCATGAGGATTATAAAAAGGGTGACTTGAAACTGATTGTTTCTCAGCATTCTCAAGAAAGTCCATAATTATTATAAATTATTATCATCATTGTTATGAATCATAGAAGTTAGCTTAGTTTATTGTTTGAAATCAGTATTAGTAATCTTGTTTTTTTTTAATTGTGATAATGTTTTTTTTATTTGTGACATACATGTATTCTACCTGAAAAAGGTGGCCTGGTGCTTCAAACTTTTTTGTTTTGTTTTGAAAAACAACGAATATGAATAGTGTATCATAATGTGATTGTTTTATATTTTTATATGCATAGATCACTGAATAATGTAAAATATTGTAATTATGGAGAAATTTGAATTCCCTTAAGGATTAATATTATCATTGTTATATATGAATCATAGTAGTTAGTTTAATTTATTGTTTGAAATCAGGATTAGTAATCCTTTTTTTTTGTTATTTGTGATAATATTTATTTTATTTTTAACATATTCTACCTGAAAGGTGGCCTGGTGCGTCCAATGTTTTTGTTTATTTCGGAAATATTTATATATTGTTATTATTGTTTGTTTTTGTAAGAAATCTTATATTTGTTGATAAATGTGATAATTGTTTCTTTTTTATTTTATTTTAAACCGGTGGGTGAACATTTTTAAGTTCATATTGAAAAGTAACAGGTATGAATAATGTATCATAATGTGATTTTTTAAAAAATATTTTTATATTTTTATTACATAGATAATGTCTCAATATTGTTTTTATTTTCATGGCATAATGTCTTGACACGAAAGCTAGACTTCTGCCACTAATATTGTAATATAGTATATTGTAATGCACATGTATCACAAATGAATGTTTTTAATACTCTTTCATGTAGATCATATCTTACTTTTTATAAGCTTACCTTTTAATTTGTTATTTAGCACAGTACATTTTGTTTTTAGCATTTTGCATATTTATCATACAATTGATGTGATCATGATACTCATTGTTTAGGGTTATTTGGACTCTTTAAGATATTCAAATGTTTTAATTATGTCTATGTGACTGTTTTTATTTGAAATTTTAGTTATATTGATCACAAAAATAAAGCTGTTATATAACTCATAGTTTGATTTTTTTATTTTCATTCCTGAAACAACTAATCTCAAATTGATGTACATGGCAGCTTATAAACAACCAATGCAGTTGGTGTGGCAAAGGCTGCAAATCTGCCAAAAGCTTACAGGTTTATTTCCCATTTTGCCACACAGTTTCGAGGATTCTTGAAAATATCCACAGTATAACCGCCTCAGGACCAGTAGGTGCCCAATTACATACATAAACTTGTTTCTCTTCGACCTTGACATCAAACGGTCAAAAATTGTGATTTAAGGTGTTGTCATGCAAAAAAAAAAAATAACAGAACAGATTGAAAACACTGTGTGTGTGCTTATTCATTCAAAAATAAGGCTCTATATTAATGTCAAAGCGCTACAATTTAAGTATACACAAATTTGTCCATTTTTTTGCTGTGATTTGTGCCAAATCGGCACAAACCCCAACTTTGAACCTCTGTAACACAAAAAGTATATAACAGAATATCATAGCGACAATTTTGCCTTATCAAGTACATCTAGGTCTCTAATTAGTGCAATTTTCATACATCTGTCTTGTATATATAGTTACTGAGATATTGGCTTCGGTCAGTTTTTTGCGTTTTTTTAAAAAAGCTGTTTTTTAGTCCCTCTGGTTTGGCATCTTCAAAACGCTATAATTTTTTAAATTTATAATATTTTTTTGAAATTATTTCAGATTATTCATTCTAGATAGTTCACAATTGCAGTAGCATTGTCATTTTACTAATTTAGAGTCATTGTTTGTATCTGAAAACCTATTGGCGCTGCTAATTTACGGTGGGTCACCCTACCATATCTTTAAAGCGGAAATTGCAAATTTTTAAGTTATATTTTTAAAATTTATTAAAATAAAGCCTGAAAATAAATGGTATCCATAAACAGTCCTACTTTGTTAAAGAATAATCCTATTAATCCTATAATTCACTATTGCCAGCTGAGAAATTGGCAAAAATATCATTTTCCTCTTCATTTTCAAACGTTTGAATATCGCTACTCCATGGTGGAGAATAGAAAACAAGGGAGGTAATTTGTGTTATTATTTCCTGTGTAAATGAATCTTAAGTGTGAGAATGACACCTATGATCGTATAATTGTGAGTTGACAACCTATTGAGCAAAAGACATAGAAATAATTACGTTTTGACTTTCTTAGAAAATTGGCAGTGGATATTTAACCGTATACGGCACTTTACTTTATTTACTATTTTGCCGTACACTTCCGTTTAACATGCGCAGTTCTCTTATACCTGGACTTAGCAGTTTTCGCTTTGGCAATGCCGTCTGACATTAACCCATAACCCAACCCTAACCCAAAACCTAACCCTAACCCAACAGTTCTATTTGTTTTTTGTCTAACATTGCTTCTTTTTCTGTTTCTTATAAAGGAACGAAATAGCCATATTAGGGGTGATGATTTTTCTTTTCAGAAAATAGCAAATTCCGTTTTAAGTATTTTGAATTCCGTTATTTTCCGTTTCAGAGCTGACCATATTCCGTTTTTTCGAGATAAAATGTTATTTTAATTTTATGAATAAATGTTAAAATGAATAAAACATCTTAAAATGCCTTTTATTACAAAACGGATCATTTAAATTTAAATCAATGATAACAAATGTTGAATTGTGAATGACTTGTTATGTTCAATGACTAGTTATTCTTTAAACCTGTTTCCCAAATTAAATAACAGAAAATTACATCTTGTGGGCTTGTTTCATCTTTTTAGCAGACGAAGCCATTTTTCTCAGCTGGTAGTTGTAGTCGCGATTTATCCAGACATCTTCGTAGTTACTACCGTTTCTTCGAGAATAAGGACTGGATTCACAAGGCTACGGCATATTTGTGATGTCACGTGTTAATACGGATAAACACAAGCCCGGCAGTAAAATAAGAAGTAAATGAAACGATTTTTATTTTTATGAAGTGACAAAAGTTTTTTTTAAGCCATATATATTTTACTTGATGTTCAGTAATTTGACCACAATACTCACGTCCACGTCACGTACATTTAATTATTCGTTTCTAAATGATTTTACTTGATGTTCAGTAAATTGACCACAATACTCACGTCCACGTCACGTACATTTAATTATTCGTTTCTAAATGCAAGAATTAAGCACGGAAATACTGCAAAAAGCTGCCATTTGCACTGTTTACAAGTAGATTTCGCTCTGTCGTAGGCTACAGTTACTCACAGTTTGGAAGTAGACAATTTTATATCAATGAATTTCACACCATCTACACTTATTTTGATCTGCTTGACACTAGTTTATAGCATTATGGAGTATTATATCTAAATAAATTAAAACGCACCCCCAAGTCACCTGATATAATTCTACTGTAACGTCACCACAGTAAATATTGTAGTGGTTGGAATGGAAATGCACACGGCTCGTTGCTTGGTGTATTTAATCATTTAAAAAGTTTTAAACAATTTCCATAAATAAAGGCTATGAATAATTTATAAGACAATTTGACAAAACCAAAAAAACAGGTCGGAAAAATATTTCATACATAAATATAATTTGTAGCGTAAAAATAGTCCGGATATGTGAGAAGGGAATTCCAGGTGACGTTATCTGTCCTTCGCACGCGGTACATGTAAATACGGTGCCATGCACAGGTGTGATTTGTGTTTTGATATTCAATTTATTACGGATATTTTAAAATCTGAATTCTACAACTCAACAGTGAAGTATTCGATTTAGTACGGAAGTGTGGTACCATGATACTTTGCGGAATTCACGTGGATACGGATGATAGAATTGTACGTATCTTCGAATCGCCGAGCCAAAGCAGATTCGCCGACTTTCAAGAACTTTTAGGCATTCCGATGTCGAAGAAATAAAAAGGTTTCATATTACGATATTTATATAGAGCAATGTACGTCAAAGACCTAACCACGTATGTGTGTACCTACATGTATGGATATGTGTGATGTGATTATTCTTTGAGTTTGAGTGGAGTGACAGGTTATTTACTGAAGCGACAGGTATGAAAAAAAGCTACCTGTCGCTTGCGAGGCTTGAGATACTTCGCCGTATATACGGTTAAATATCCACTTCGTAGAAAATTTGCAATTTCCCTTTAACTGATGTCACCGTGGTATTTACGAAACTAAGAAAATCCATTTAGGGGTTTTAAGAGTCTACGAATACGATTCGCGATGTCCTGTAACAGGACTCCTGTTTGTTGTTCAAAACTGAGCCAAGGAAGAAAGAATTAGAAAGAAAGAATATGATTCAAAATGATTGAACTTGACTTGAAGAAGAGAGAAAAAGACAACAAAAAAAACACCCCAGTGTAGATCTAGTACATTTTTGTGAGGTCACCTTTTTCTATGGTCGGACAGTTGTAGTTAATTTTCTTGTCTACCTTGTTTTAGCAATCTGTGTTCAAGATATATTCAGAAAATATACAAGTTTCTCCACTCTAAAATACTAAAAGTAAAATGTAATCACCAAAGGCGGCCATATTGGAATGAAAAATGTGAATCGTTTCAATTTGATTGGATAAAATGGTTCAAGAGTAATTGAAGGGAGATTACCTAACTCTGGATTAAGAGTAGTAGGACTCAGACTAGCAATTATTTGCCCATTGACTTCAATGTTAAATGACTGTAACATCACAGGCTGTAGCTTTTTGCTCAACATTCCGTTGGTTCCAATCTTTATAGGCACAATGGGGACAACATTTGGCAATCTCCTCATTATAATTTTGTAGGGGGTTGACCATTTAGATTTTTTGCTACACGGATTTGAAGTTGACAGGGGTGAAAATTTAACTTCCGACACAATGATTGCTCTGCAGAAAGACACTTTACACCCCCTATCCCTCCGCTGTAATATCATCAGTATTACCCAAAACTGCTATGAAATTGCAAATTTGATCCCTTTTCTCCAATTCTAGACCAAAAAGTCAACCCAAAAATGCAGGAAGAGGGGAGAAAAAAACTAAGGGAAAAATTGTCTATTTATAACTCGCACTACATTCGTATCATGAAATAAGGGGAAATAATTACTAGTCTTAGTCCAGTAATTCTTAACCCGTTGACTTCATTGGTAAATTTCGTTTAAACAGCAGTCCTATTTATTTCGAAAATATTGTACAATATAAAGCCATAAAGAATAGGATACAAAAGCAAGCCAGGTAGACTTATATTAATTTGCTTCCTCCTGGTTTGGGTGTATAATAATGTAAAATTTCAAAGTGTATGATAATATAGACAAGACTACTTACACAGTATTTTAATTATGGTACAAATACGTAGATAAGTAATTTTAAATAAATACATCAATAAATTCGGGCGCGTCGAATTACCCAATAACACCCAATAACTGCCCAATAACTGCCCAATAACACCCAATAACTCCAAAATAACTCCAAAATAACAACCAATAACTCCAAAATAACAACCAATAACTACAAAATGTTGACTTTGGAAACACAAAATAACAATTTAGTTGAATTTAAGAAGCATCGCTGCTTTGTGTCCAAATCGGAGTTTCACGCTCACTCACCTGAAGGGAGATAACTCGTATATGTGATTTTTGTTGACAAGAAATTAATAACACCCAATAACTGCCCAATAACACCCAATACCTGCCCAATAACACCAAATTGTTGACTCTGGAAATACAAAATAACAAATTAGTTGAATTTAAAAGCCTCGCAACGTTGAGCCCAAATCAGAGTTTTACGCTCACTCGCCTGAAGGGAGATAACTCGTGTATGTGATTTTTGTTTACAAGAAATTAATGTATGCTTTCGTTGCAATTCGTTTTAATTATACATAGGCGTCAAACCGTAGTCATAAAAATATTCGAAATTAAAAAAAACACACAGTAAAAATCGGTGCTCTTGCAAAAATCGTGATTTCACGGTCGGGTGTGACCCGATCAAAACACCTAAAGTATCTTTTGGTAGCTCGATGAATGGGCTATTGTTTGACACACTTCCTATCTGATTCCTGAAAGCCGGTTCAGTGCTGCTTGCAGGTCTAGTTATTATTATTTTATTTTTCCCGTTTTGCCTATTTCTCAGCAACTATAAGAGATAGAGGTCTGAAGTTTGATTTTCTCTCGTGAAAGTTGGTGGTAGTTAGTGCTTAAATGTAAAACGAAATTTGTGCGCATAGCGGAAATACGTCAAATCTTTAACGTGCACGAAAATCGGCTATTATTCTCTTAATTCTCAATGGATTCTTCAGATATTTATATTTTTGGATAGCTGGAGACATTTCTGAGCAGATAGCAGTTCAAAACTGTTGAAATTAGAAACTTTGTCGCTCTCATTTTTTTGGTGAAAAATGGAAAATTTTCAAAAGTTTCTAAAATTTTTATTTTTGGGAATTTTGAAATTTCAGTTATTTTTTGGGATAGCTGACATCAATCCGATTCCAACAATATAAGTTTTGTTCTGAAATGTTAACCTTGATTTTTCACTTTTTTTCGCATTTTGGTCAAATTGTAGAGTTCTTATTTTTTTAAAACGGCTCCAACGATTTTTCTGAAACTTCAGGAATATGAAGTCGAAGGACCAAATCAGTCCATGAACTATAAATGAAAATCCTCTAATCTCCGGAAGTGGTCAAGAAAGGTATCCAAAGTTTGACAAAATTCTGAAAAATGGGTGCCTGTGCGGAAAATGCGATGTATCAATTGTGTTTTTTTCCGATTAGTTAAAGTTTTATATTGTTTACTAGCCAATTCAATTGTCTATCAGATGGTACTAAAGCGACAAGTTTCTATCAAATAATAAAAAAGTTATGTGACTTTTAAAAGCAAGGTATTTTGCGATTTCGAGCAACTTTAGACGCATGTTTCTCGGAAACGCCCTCAACGATTTTTTTAAAACTTTCTCAATCGAGAGACTAATGGGTTGGCTATTTTGTGAAACTACTGTATTAAATTTTGAAATGTCAGGGGTAGCCGAAAAAAGAGATCTAAAATCGAAAACGTCGTATTTTTACGATTTGGAGCATTTTTAGAGGCCTATTTCTCGAAAAGTCAACATAATTCTTTTTTGGAACTTCTTCTACAGAGAGGCCTATCAGTAGTGTTATATATAAAACCATTGTACAACAGTCCCAAGTTTCAGGAGTAGCAGAACAAAGGGATCGAAAATTGAACACGGCACCTTTCATTGTTAAGCGAAACATAAGTGGGGGATACAATCTGTACGTTTTGTCAACGTATAGCGTCTATTCAAGCGTGCTTTTATCAGTGATGATATTTGAACTGAAATTATTTCAACTATGAGTGTTTTCTTCTATCCAAAATATGGGATTAGTGACCCTGTAACAGAAAAAGTTGATTGCTGTGTGTAATAATTAGTCTTTGAATTAATATTGTTGCTTCTTTGTCAAAATTATTTTATACCGGTAATCATCTGGACAGAAATCGACGGCTCGCGCTGTTTATAAGAAAGTCCAATTTGTTAAACGGGAGCGGTAGTATCGTACAGTAGTATCGAATATTACACCTATAATAAAAGGCATGACGTTGTTTGAGAACGGACTCTATCTGTAATTATTATTACATTTTTATTAGTGTCAAATCTTTAACGTGCACGAAACTAGAAAATTGGCGATATTTCATTGAATATTCAATCAATTTTTGAACCAGTTACATATTTGAGTAGCTGACGTGAACGCGATTCCGAAGTCCCGTGTACACATTGGTGTGACCGTAAAAGATCCCATGGCGGTTGGAAATCTATATAAAAGAAGACTAGCGCCGCTGTACGAGCATGTTTAGAGGTCTTTTTCTCAAAAGGGCAATCTAATATAGTTTGGGGAACTCCTTCTATAGAGAGACTAATTGATATATATGCGCGTAGGGGTCTTTAGTAGTGTGAGGAAACCGGAGAAAACCCACGAGGTTGGGCAGGCGACCCTACTCCTTGTCACGTAAAACCGGGTAATCGAAACCCCGCCAGTTGACTCAATGACAGAACGTATGATACAGTGCAGTCCCAAAGGCTAGAATACCGTGCAAATTCCAGCCAGCATAATGTATCTATATAAGAGACATTTATTCCTACTGGCGATTTACAAATATTGCATGAAGAAATTCAAATCATAAGAACATAAACACGACTAATACACAGTATCGTATTGATTATAAAAGTACAATGTATATATTGGTTACACTATATATGTCACAAAACAACAATCATTAGATAATAATAATTATTTACTAATAATATAAATCATTTTAAGAGGTAGGAGTTATCCGTTGTTTAATTTAACAGGGCCCTTATTCACGAAAACTTAAACTAAGTTACAACCGAAATTTTAAAAAATACTGCAGCTTCATTGGATATATGCAAATTGATTTTACTGATCAGCCAATCGAATTGCAGTATTTCTTAAAATTTCGATTGTATGTTAGTTTAAGTTTTCGCGAATAAGGGCCCTGTTATTAATTACCCTGGTTAGAAAGGTACGAACAGCTACGACACCTACGATATTTCTGAAACGTCGTTACTATGAAGTCGACGGACCAAACCAGTCCATGAACTATAAATAAAAATCCTCTAATCACCGGAAGTGGTCAAGAAAGGTATTCAAAATTTGACAAAATTCTGAAAAATGGGTGCCTGTGCGCCAATTGCGATGTATCAATTGGTTGTTTACCGAGTACTTAAAGTATTATGTCGTATGATAGCCACGTTAATTATCTACGGGATGGTCCTATAGCAACAAGATTTTATTGCCAACTAAAACATTTATGTGACTTTGAAAAGTAAAGTTAAGTTTAAACCAATGTTTCTCGGAAAAGCCGCCAATGATTTTTTTCAAACTTGCTCAATCGAGATTCTACTGGGTAGTGTATTGTGTGAAACCCTTGTACAATTTTTCTAATTGTCATGGGTAGCCGAAAAAAGAGATCGAAAATTGAAAACAGCGTATTTTTACGAGTTGGAGCATGTTTAGGGGTCAATATCTACAATTTTGACAGTTAGGTACCATTTTTCAAAAGCAAATATTATTTTTTTTAAAACTCATATAACTAAAAGAGTGTGTCCTTTAAAGGCGCAAAAAACTCTGAGCTTAGTTTTTTTAATTTCGATTTCATTTTCGAGCAAATTCGATTTAGAGGTGAAAAAGGGTCTAAAATTAACCTCTTTACAACCCATTCAGGCTTTTCAAATATCTACGTAACTTTTATAACCTTGTAGCTATAATCCATACGAATAAAATGTATGTTAAAATTAGTTTGTAATATAAGCAGTTGCCTAGAAATGGGCAATTTTGTTGAAGTCCCCGTTTTCGTTATTTTGCCTGTAAATAGTCAATTATTATTGGATTTTTATAAAAAAGACATAAAGGATTTTTCTGAAACTTCAGGAATATGAATTCGAAGGATGAAACTAGTCATTAAAGTAAAAATGAAAATTTTCTATTCACCGGAAGTGGTAAATAAAGTGCTCCGCTGTACGAGCATGTTTAGAGGTCTTTTTCTCAAGAGAGAGAGAGAGAGAGAGAGGGAG